ATGGCCACAAGCTCTGTGGTATACACGGACGCATGGGCTGGCAATGTAAATGGTCGCATATCGGGGCCACACACAAAGGCGGAACCAACACCCGTATCCGTTTTGCAGCCGTCTGTATACGTAGTTGTGAACCCCCGATATGTTTTGATATGTTTCAGAGCTGTTGATCCGGCAACACACGGAATCACATTTTGCTTCCGAACCTCCGACAATGAAACATCGACAGTTGGAGATACTTTCACCCACGGAGCGGTCGGCAGGCTGCGTGGGCTTGCCACACCCCAAAACTTAAGCCGCCCCCATGAAAAGCATTACGAACACGCACACAAAACGGCGCACATGTGTTGTTTGATCGCGCTGGAAAACATTAGATGTGTGGCGTGAGAACACAGAGTCGTGTGTTGGGTGGTTCGGAAATTGCGCGAGCTTACAAGCGTACCGCATCCCCAACAACTTTCTTCGGGTAGCCAGCAAAGGTTCGTTGGCTTCCACAAGGAAGCTGGCTGTCGGAGACGTACGAAATGCACCAGTAATGATCCTCAACGCAGCATGATGGACCGCAATCAGTGTGCGTTTTACGGACTCAGAGGCGCCATCATATGTAAAACACGCATAGTCCAGCTTAGAGCGTATCAGTGAACGGTATAACATTAAAAGTGTTTTCCCATCTGCTCCGTGGAATGTTCATGCCACACATTTCAATATGTTCAGGGTCTTAAAACACTTGTCACGCAGAATGATAACATGCTCCTTGTAGGCCAAACGCTTATCAAAATGTAACCCCAAAAACCGTGCCGCCGTATTCCAGGGGATCGACTGTCCATAAAGCTTAAGCACCATGTCAGGACACTGACGCCGGCGTCGACGAAAGCGGACGGAGACAGTCTTCGAGGTCGAAAACCGCAGCCTGTTGAGTATGCTCCATCATTTGAATACAATGCAATGAATATACAGCACACAGAAGTATACATGTAATTAAAGGATGACAATATCTCAAAGTTAAGTGAAGATACACGGAGTTAAAACGTGCGTGATCACTTGAACTCTTGAAATGCTAAAACTGTCATGAAAGATGTCCGCACTAGTGTTGTTAGCTAAAGAAGTGTTCTCAACGCCAGGCAGTCTGCAAAACAGGCCACTTTGCACTGTCCGCGCAAGAGCGTGAGGTACAGCAAGGCGAGTTCGGTTGCGGGTTCATCGAGGCGGCACAAGCAAGGAGAAATACTAAGCAAGTTTTGAGAATGCAATTTACCTTGGTAGACATTTCTCACAAAGGGTAAATCGTGCTGCTAGGGTAGGATTTGGAAGTGAAGCAGAAGACTGCCATGTGGAAGAGAGCTGGTTGTCCGGAGAATGTATGAGTTAGTAACCAAATCAGAAACTTGTGCCGCACTCGGCCGACAAGCACTGTGTGGGCATTGGCGGCCCCCCGCCCAGAGCACGCCACAATATTCAAAACCGGTCGCACGTTTGCAAAATACGCAGCCATCACTGCGATCCGATTAAATCTTGACCTGCTGCTACCGACTTGGAAGGACCGAATAAGCAAACCAAGTGTTCGATTGACGCCACTTACAACGTCAGAGGCATGTGAAGCGAATGTCAGTCTCGCATCCAGCGTCATGCCAAGGTCTCTAAATTTATACAGTGTTCAAGCTCAGGTTTATCGATAAAATGCTTGGTCTCCGGAAGTAGGTCTGAGGAAACATGAGGTTTATGGGAAAGCAGAGCAGTAGGTGAAAAACGATTATCATGGATATAGCCCTGAACGCCGATGACATAGGGAGGGAGGATACTTTCTGAATCTGTCCAACATAGACAGACGCTCGGTGTTTTTGTGACAGCTCGGTGATACGATCGTATGCGGCGATATTTGATTCTGAGAAGACATCTCACCCCTAATTGGAGGATGAGAACATAAATTTCCCAGTGTAATTTGCACGACGGCAGCTCGTGTGCGCACGAATAGCCTGACGGTGTAGGGTGAGATCTCGTTACCCCACAGACTGAAGCCACGAGAATGTGGCGATCAGGAGAGACCGGAATGCACGAATGCCACGTGTACGCCGCGACCACATGGTTTTTAAAGGTCGTGGTACCTACATATAACTTTCCCCCCAGCTGGTATTTCAGGAGGGATGTCAAAACCGTGGCGAACGGGCCCAATTTGCAGCACCAAGCGAGGTGCATGCATTCCATCCGAGTCTGATGAAATCGGCACCACCAACAACACAATTTACCCAGCCAGCTGCGCTGCTGACCTGAGACCTGCCACTTATGTGGCGAATGCATGCACTCCGTGAAGAACGATTTCCTGAGCATCATCGCACCGCCTTCGAGCACATCAACAGCCCTATTGGGCTCAACCTTCACGTTTACCATTATTTCGATGTCTTTCCTGAAGTGCCAGTTGTGAGGACAAGATTATTTAAATGTCATGGCCATGTTGACCGAAAACTAAATGTCAACCCCGTGATGGAAAAAAATTGACGAGTTGGTCTCTTAAGCAAGCATACTGTTTGGCATGGACATAATATTGGTCAAAAATGTTCTGCGATGTTATATATCGTGGGTACTTCAGTGATTAGAGCTCCACCTGCAAGCCCATTTTTAATTGGGAAGAATATTTCATCCCCGTTCAGGAAACAAAAAGTGAGTTGTAGAGTGCTTGTGTAACGTTTTGCTAATTATTACGCATCTAATGATTCGTCATGTTTTTTTATAAATTTATTCCGAATGGTTTTGTATGGATGACTTCGGATTCAGAGTACCTGCTAAGCATAAGCATTGTTGCGTGTATCCCGAACTCACCATCCCACGCGTACCGTCCAGTTCAACAGCTAATTTTGCCCTCCGCCCTTTCGCCATACGGGAATGCGGAGGGTTTTTTACGCGCCGCACAATGCTGCGACACGGCCACCTCGGGTCTGGGTTTGAACCTCGTTGGCCAGTTGCCAGCTGGCTTTTCCATTTCAGTCGGGTCAACAATGCGCCCACTCTGGGACTCGTACCCAGTGCCGCTGGATTACGAGTCAAGCATCTTTCCCCCAAGGCCACGGAGGCGGCA